GTTTTTATGACCGTGTACACCATGTTTTACTTACATTTTGTTGTTGGGTCCTTTTTCTTCTTGTTTCCTAAAGTTTAACTATACTGTTTTCTTGCAACACCAAAGTATTCTGCATAATAATTTTTATTTTATTTTAACATGCAAAAAATGGATGCAAATTTAAAAAAAAAGCAAAAAGAAAAACGTACTTTTACGATTCCAAGAAATTTATTAAACCAACAGCAATAACAATAACTGGCAACAACAATATCAATTGTTTTTATATAGTAGTGTGCGTAAAAGGACCTCTTTACAATTCTCACATTTTATCTTTTGCATTCTCTAGACTATGCTAAATTTATACGTACATTTTTAATATATTTTTTAATAGATAAAACGGTACACCGAAATAAGATTGTATTTTAAACTTTTAAAGGATCTTGCAATTGAATTTCAACCGTATATTCACCACTATACCACATTCATTTTAATTTTTTTTTTTACCCCATGTAATAAATTTTGTTTTGTGTCTTGCTTTTTATTGTGCTTTTTATCCTAAACAATCCTTTACAATATAAATTATAGTAAAAGTGATTTTTTGTTTTCTTATTTTGTTGTCTGTTATTTAAGGAATTGCTTGTGTTTTTGCATCTCAAAGTGAATTTCATTGACAATACACATTGTGTGTTTTGTTTTTTAATTTATTCGAGAGAAAAAAGTTAAAAAAAAATAGAAGCTGAAAGGTGAACGCTTTGTTTTTTGAAAAATTTTTTGAATATTTTTTGGATTTTGTTTTTAATTTTTAGAAATTATTAAAGAGCACCTTAAAATCTTGAATAAACTATTGTTTTGTTTAATTTTGAATAAATTAAATTTGGTTTTAAAGTAATGTTAGTTTTCTGTTTAGGGATTACTCTATTAAGAGAGAGAGGAATTTGATTCTGGAGGAGAATTTTCAATACACCATAGAAAAGAATTCAGTTAAATTATTTTCGTTTAAAATTGCAAAGAATTTCAAGAAAGAAAAGAGAAAAAAAAAAAGAATTTGCATTGGATAAAGCAAATTAAAGCCGATATTTCAAAAATCCGAATCTAGTCAATTGAAATATTTGCCGAATAACATATGAAAATAAATTAACATTAAAAATACGAGGTGAAATTTCAAACAAATTCGTCTAGTATGTATTAATTAATTACACCTCTCTCCCGAGAAGATTGTTTTACCGTAAGAGTTTTACCCACGCTAACAAAATTAACACTGAGTAACAGAGCATAAAACAGTAAGAAGATATTGAGAATATGAAAATGTAGGCGAGAAATACACAACAAATAATATCAACAGTCACACTATAATATTGTGCGTAATAATGAAGTGCGCGTTGCTGCCTAACTAGGGGTGTTAAAAATGTCAAAATTAATCCTGCAATAGTAGAGTTTAATGTGTTCGATGCAGTGTACAATATAGAATACAAATACTATATAATATTGGTAAATTTAAAAAAAAAAAACAAATTTAAAAGAGAAATCTTCATTTAGATTTATTTGCAATAACTTCTCTTAGTATACGGAAAAAGTTAGGCTATTTTATCGTATTTAATATAATTAATTTTGAGACAAATTCCAAGTAGTATAATAAGAGAAATAATTCAGTATAATTATTCCGGAATCTTTAGATAATTAAATTTCTCTCTTTCGAAATTTTTAATTTATTAGTTTCTAAATTCATGTGAACTTTAATTATTACTAAGTCAACAAATATTATTTTAATTAAATTATAAGTAGAATAACAACTATAATGACTACTTTATCAATTTAAAATTTTATTCCATCCAAAATTCTTAGAAATTAAGTTCAAGGAAATGTTAATATTTTCGTTCATTTTTTTTGAGAGAGAAAAACACTTAAATTTATATTTTTAGAGAAAAAAAGAAAACACAGATTTACTTTACTGCGCTTTGAAAATAATTTATGAAAATTTATTAAAATTAATTTTGAAAAAAAAAATTATTCTTTTTTTTTTTTTGTAGTTCTATTTTTCATTTTTCAAATTTAATGCAACCATTTAAATTTAATTTATAACAGAAATGGAGAGTATACCGCTCGAAGCATTTTTAAATAAAAAAAATTTAATAATTTTTTTTTTTTAATATTTTTCATTTTTTGCTTTCTCTTTGTTTTTTGAATTAAAATAATTTTTTCCACATTTTTTAATTTTTCCTTTTTTTTTTCTGTTATAATTTTTTCTCTTATCATGTTCGTTTTTTTTTTTTTTTGCAAATTATGTACCTAGTTATCTAAGCTGATAGATATATTGACGCAATAATCATCCGCCATTAAATTGGAAAAGAATAAAATGAGCGTAATTTTTTCCCGCATTACATTAACTTTTTTTTTTGTATATTTGTATTTTTGTATATTTATTTTTTTTTATTTTCTTTCCTTTTCTCTCTGCTTTTTTTTTTGCTTTATTCTTCAGCATCATTAAATTAAATCGCCGGAAGGAAATAAATATTATTCAGTTTGTAAAACAAGGACATAAAAAAATAAAAAGTGTAAATAATATAAGAATAAAGAAAATAACTTACAAAATGTATTTCGTATAATAATTTTCCCGACTCTGGTAACAGAACGTAATTTTTTTTTTAGCGTAATTTAATTTACCATAAGCATAATATACTTATATTTGCTTTAGGTAAACAAATTAATGAAAAATACATACATGCTAATATTAATAAATATAAAATTTTTGTAAATTTGAATTAAATCACGTAAAAATTAAATACGATAAAATTTTGACGCTCGATAAATTCATTTTTTGACAAGTTTTTGACAATTCGTTAAAGTAAATAATTGAAAAGAAATTATAATCAACATATACATTATGTTTTATTGAGGGTAATAATGAAAATGAGAGATGAATAATTTAAGTTTTAAATGAGGAGAGAATAATTCGTTAAGAATTGAGAACCTGAAATGATACATTATCACAAAAAAAAAATAGCATAAATATTTAAGCAGATTTTCATTTGATTGACTCGTCTGCATTTTCGGTAGTTTTCTTTTATAAAAGCAAAGAAATCCAAGTATTCTACTGTCAGTAATTAGTTGAAACTGGCCATACAAGGCCGTCCCGATTTGAGGCTATTAGTGAGTGCACTCACTGATCATTTTCTTCCGATGTTTAAGGCGGAAAGTGAAGTTTTCCGTCTCTGCCTGGAGGAAAACTAAACAATAGAGTACTTATTGTGTGAATTCGAGGCGGTCGCTCACCTATGCTATGATGCTTTGGAGGAGACTTTGTGACTCCGATGGAAGTCTATTGGTAATGTGGATCAGCTGGTGAGAAGAGCCTGAAGACCTTGATCTCCTACAAGGAAAAGAAAAAAAAGGGAGTAATTTTTTTTTTATTTACTCCTTTACTGGTATAGTTTGATGGGAATGTTACGAATATACTGCGGACCAGCCTATACAAAATAATACTTAAAATGAGTTGTTATACAAATTTATTGCGGTAGATGGCTCTAAATTTTCATATGAAAAATACACTTTTCAATATTTCTATTTATAAAACAGCGTTCTACTTACAAAATATTTACATCCAATTTGGAATAGTTCAGGCTTTAAAATGTTACATTTTCTGTTAAACCAAATTTTTTTAAAAAAAATTCTCAAAAAATACTCAAAAATAATTCATGAAGTATCTGCCATATTTCTAATATTAAATAACCATATAAACCTAGAAAACCGGGAAAATACAATAAAATGTAAATTGTAGGTAATAAAGAAAAAAAAATTATGAAGAAATAAAAAATAACTTTTAAATAAATTTTTTTTCTCTCTTTTCTATTATTGTCGCTCTGTTATTCTTATCTTTCTACTTTAGAAGGATCTAGATGTCTACTTACTTACATATTTATTAACATTTTTTGTCTTTATGGTACACTGTATCACATTGTTTTCAGTTGAATGAATTATTTTCCAGTGAAAAATTCGTTCATATACTCTTTTTTTTACATTTTTAGAAATTCATGATGAAATCTTGCCATTTCTTTTTTATTTAAAAATAATAATTGTGTAAAATTTCTTTATTACAGGTAATTTTAAACTGTGTCTATTATAATTTTAATAATTATACAACTTGAATTGAATAATTTCTAAGAACATTAGTTTAATATTAAATTTCATATAATATGAGACTTACATTTTGAACAAACATTGACTTCTGGATGCGTATCTTGCATAAATTCGACAGTCATTATTTTGACTACGTAAGCAAATGGATAACATTCTTTAAGGCAATTCAGATGTAACTATTCACTTCAGTATTGGCGATACTATCTCTTACTTCCATGACGTACTAAGACAGTAACATTCCATATATTTCGCTATAGCGAAATGAGTGGAATACTTGTTCAGTAGGTATTATTCATAAGATTCCTTTAGACTATAGTAGAAAAAAGTATGTAAAAAATTATATTCCGCATTTCATAGATACGTTAGAAAGAAAACAGCACGAAAATATCTCTGGTTAAACGAAAGCTACGAGACATAGCAGCTGGTCTCACTATGTTTACGGCCGTTCCAAATATCGGTATCCAGTTCGGATATCAATTTTGGCCTCTATGATCGTAACCACAACGTAAGCGTCTCCCGTGTTTCTTCGCGGCTCCTAACTAAATATTTGAAACATATTTACTCTCACCCCAACTTAGGTAATCCGAGGTACGCTTACGACTAACAAACTAGTTATTTCTAAAGCCGTGTGATAGTAACATGTGATGCGTAATACTCATTTGCTTTATATCGGTTAAAAGTGTTTAAAACAACTGCCTTCATTTTACTATAACGAAACTTGCGGTTGATAAACAATAGTTTACTTTTGAAATTTAATTAAAAATGTCGTAATAATTCAAACAAAAATATTGCATTGTTATCTTTATAATTTAACTAGAATTATTTAAACACCTACAATAAAATTTCATTCCCTCATAAATCATTCTTTTAAAATATTTCAGTGTGTGCCGTTTGTTGTCTATATAAAATTACAACTTTGGAAATTAAATCACAGTTTGAATCGTCTTGTTAAACGTACTTTAGATTTGCAACTCGTAACAGAACAGATAAAGGAAAGAAAACTCGATACAGAAGCGATTAAGCGAAATGTCCCTCCCCACTTTCCTATTTCTATTTATTCTAATTTTAACTTGTTCAGCAAATCCTATTAAATTAATTAGTTCCAATAAATATTGCATTATCGGTGGACAAAATGCTAAAGAAGGACAATTTCCACATCAAATTTCAATCATGTATTTTTTTTGGCATGTTTGTGGTGGAGCAATTATTCATAAAAATTGGGTTTTAACAGCCGCGCATTGTGTAAGGTAGGTTAGATTAAGTTAAACAAATCAAATTCCAACTCAATATTATTTTTAATTCATTTTAGCTTGAATATTAATATTGCATACATAAAAATTTCAGCTGGTCATTTGGAATATTTAAAAGGAACAAAATATGATGTAGAAAAAATTATCATACATGAAAAATATGAAATATATTCCGATAAAAGAATATCAAAATATGATATAGCATTATTGAAAATCCCAGGAAATGGTTTTAATTTAGATGATCCTCATAAAATTTCTATAATTGAATTATTAACTGAAGAAATTCCATCTGGAAAATTATTATCTATATCTGGATGGGGTTATATAAGTCTAACTGATGACACGCCAAATACTTTACAGTTTACTAATAAAACATGGGTTGAAACATCTAAGGAATGCAAAGAAAGATATCCCGATTTATATTATGACGGTTTAATTTGTTTAGGACATCTGTTTTTTAATGGTGCCTCTCAAGGTGATAGTGGTGGTCCAGCACATTATTTAAATAAATTAGCTGGAATTGCAAGTTTTGGTGATCGTTATTGTCTACCACAAAATCCAACTGGTTACACAAAAGTAAGCTATTTTGTATCATGGATTAAGTCAAAAATAAATTAAGAAAAATGTAGTTTGAAACATAAATAGCAATTGAAATCGAAATTGGTAGTTTTGAAAATAATAAAATCGATCTCAAGTTAATAAAATGTCATTTCTAAATCCAATTGTAATTGGTTGATTTATTGACTTCCAAATTATTTTAAGGATATTTTAAAATAATTTTAATCTCGCATTCAATTATATAACGTTCTCTCTTGCCTGAAGCAGCAACTTCAGCTGCCGACGAAAATACTCCACAATGCCATCGTTTACATGAAAGTGGAATGGGTCATTGTAAGCCGAATAAGAGAGTTTAAGTTTATTCTAATTCTGTGGGTAATAAAGATTGAAATTATTCATTAAATTCAGGCGCGCCTGGCGGAGTGTGTAGCTTTAAACAAAACGTTAATAAATAGTGGCCGCAAAAATATCTCACACATAGTAGATCTCAGGTCAAAACGTAGATCGATCAGCTACGATCATCATCTATAAAAAAAATTGTTTGAAACTCCTAGAAGGTATCCGTGACTGACCCAACTTTATATATATACGCCTCTATGTTTTTTCCTCCTATTAAGGTAAGCACTTTCTATTTCATATTCTTCGCGACGTTGTTCGTGTCCGGTGGGAAATATCGCTCAAATATGAATTCACCTGATGATCAGATAAATCATCATAGAGATAGATTACATTTTACTTTAGATGTAAGATATGTACCTTGTTTAAGATCCCGTGCCATAGATACGTCACACTACAAATTGAAATAAATATTTAAACCGTACCGGCAAGAACCGTATTTAAAGTTTAAACTTATCTTAGGGTTGTTGCAATTAATAATTTGTTCTTGCTCATCATCGTTTTTCTACGCCTGTGTGAAATTTTGGCCCTCTAAAAACCAATTTGCACAAGGCTGAAATATTTTATTCATGCATTCATAACACCCCATCCATACAGACATAATATTTTCCTTTAAACTCAACTTTTTAGAAAAAAAAACACTCACACATTAATTTTTTTTTATTAGTTTATTTTAATTCTTAGAAATTTTTGTATAAATCCACTTTACATAAGATTTAACTTTTACATAAATATCTGGATTTTCAGTTGCACATCCAGTTGCATAAACAGCATTAGCAACACCAGCCAATTTACCTTTATAGTGTGCTGGACCACCGCTATCACCATAACAAGCACCAATTCCCATATCATGCTTCAAACATAAAATATTCCTTTTATTAAGATTTTCATAAATTTCATCACAATTATCTGCTTTATCATTTACTAATTTATCGGAAAATTGTAAATGATCCGGTGGTTCCTCACTTTTATTATTATAACCCCAACCTGATATTATAATTTTTGCACCAATTGGTATTTCATTTAACATTAATTTAATTTTATTAATTTTTTGTGGATTCTTAAAACTGAAACCGGCACCCGAAATTTTTATTAGAGCAATATCATTCTTATCGAAGGTATAATTTTCATGTGGTATGTATTTTAAAATTTTATATTTTATACCATTTTTATACATTACACTACCAGCGGAAATTTTATAATTTTTCAAATTTGAATCTCTGAAATAAAAAATAAATAAAATAGAAAAATTAGTTTCAATTTTGTTGAACTCTTTTTTCCTTGTACTCAAAAATTCTATTTTTCAGATCATAGCAGCAATTAACATCGCAGATTTAGTTATGGAAGGTTCACTGTTTGTTAAAATATATTCAAAAATGCATACCCGTCAAAACAATGAGCTGCAGTTAATACCCAATATTTATGAATTATTGATCCACCACAAATATGCTCATCCTCATATAAAATTGATACATGATGTGGAAATTGTCCTTCTTTAGCATTTTTTCCACCATAAGTTAAATTAATAATTGGAATTGTTAAAGAATTACAAATTAAGAAAACTAGTATCAAAATTGTTGAATAAAACATTGTTCTGCGGAAGTTGTGAAAGTATACAAATGAAAGTTTACGCGTTTCGACTCAGCGGTCATAGAAGCACGAAGCCAGAAATCAACTATTTTTTAATTTTATCGCAAATAAATAAGAAATTTCAGTGCAAAAGTTTTAATGTGTTATCAAATTTTGAATAACAAACATTAATTTATTACTAATAATTTTACTTTTTTCACAGATAGCAGCAATTTGGATGAGAAATTGCAGTAAATTTATTGCTTAATTTGCAATTTGATTTATTCGATTTCTAAATTATATCAAAACGAAAAAATCGATATTTGGCACGTTGTAAGAAGAAATGAACAAAATATTTACGTTAACATTGGAAATTATGCGAATATGTGAAATCAGTAAAAAAATAGAATTGAATACAGTCAGTCATGCTAAATTAATTTATGTGAGTGCGATTTTTCCCTGGATCTTATCACTTAAGCCATGCTCACAGGACGGACGCTTATGAAGAATATTTTTACTGAACCGAAATGATATACTAATAATCAAAGAATAATAATGGATTTAATATATTATATGAGTGATTCACAGGACTTCACATATAATTTCTCCATTTGAGGGCCGACATAAAATGCTGAAGAACTACAAGGTCTACTTAAATGTAAGAATATTTTTTTATAGGGAAACTCTATAACTTAATACTCTCAAATAATTTAGGAAATATAAAAGTTAAATACAATTAATTAAGAGAGATTAATTATTTTGCAATGTCATAAAATTGTGAATTTTCTCTTTCGATGTTTCTCTTAAAATTTGAATGACAGTGAAATGTAATCTTTAATAGATGTTATGACAAGCACAATATTTGTATATAATCTGCTGAATTGAAATTCAACAAGTTTCACATATAGTTTACAATGAATACCCACTTTCCCCCTCTTATTTAAGTAAAATTTACAATTGACTCATAACAACATGACTGAGGAAGCAGTGAAACGCAAAATAAATATGCGAAGATTTAATTTATTAGTGTAAGAAAACCTTAAATGCATTTACGACGAGCAAGAAGAAGATTTCATTTCAAATACCCATTCTAAAATATTTTCTTGTTATCCTTCTTATACATTCATAATTTTAATAATTGAAAAATGCGATAAACTTTCAGTTTCCCATTCAAACTCATTCATAAATAAGATTTTCTATATAGCAGCAACAACAACAATAACAAAATTGATTTTTGCTCTACATTTATTTATTTTTTTCTTCATCCTCTATTTCCTTCATTTTTTCTCAACTTAACTTATTGCCTTAATTTATTATGATTGCATATAAAAACTATATACCGCATATACACACACACTTAATGCATGGTTACCCTGTATATAGTCACTAATTCACAATAATTCATTTTTCTATATACTTGACTCTATGCCATTAAATAATTTTTAAAAGAAAAGAATCAGTGTCAGGAAATAGGGTCACTTTAGAAATTAAATATAGTTGAGAAGATATAGAATATTATACATAATATATACATAGCTAAATAATAGTTTATACTTTAAACATTTTGAAATGAAATTTAAATTTATTAATTTAAAAAAAAAATTATATAAAATTAATTTTAAAAAAATTTCTTGAGAAAATTTAATTAAAATATTTGAATTAATCATTTTAGTGAATTTTTTAATTATTTGAATTTTTCTTAATTATTATTAATAAGAATTCATGATTTTTGTTACTAGTAATTCTTAATTTTCTCTAATATTAGGTATAATACAAGAACTTTTGCCTAATTTCTCACTAAAACCCCAATATTAGATGATATTTTTTATAATTTCATTGTATAATTTCAGAGAAAACCGGGAATTCCAACAATTTCAGCAGTTTAGTCTAACAATGTGCTTATGTTAACAATGTTATGAAGCGAAATTTTGAACAATAATTAAGCATTCATGCAATTAAAAATAGAATCAGAAGTTAAAAATCGAAACATTTTGCTTGATTGCCTTAGTTTTCAAATATTTTGCGATTGTGTAAAGGTAAAGCCTTATATGTTTTTTAAATTTTCATATTTACAACAAGAAAATTGAAATTTAATTATTTTTAGGAAGAAGGAGGACGTGTTTTTTAATTCACATCTGAATTTTGAATAATTAAGAAGTTACAGAGGTTAGGGTAGAAACACGAAAAACATGTCGTTCATGTTTGTTACGATTTTTAAAAAAGTGCGGTAGCCCGGCCGAACAATACGTTTTTTTTTTATTTTGTATCGTTTCGCCAATTTTTGACAGTCTGTCCAGAACAATCTTAAACCATAAAAAATTATTAAAAATTGGATATTATTTACACAATCACTGTAATTATTTGATTTTCTTACCACCCTTTTTTGAATAAATCATTGCAATCTAAAATTATAAAAAAAATTTTCTTAGATTTAAAACCAAATGTAAATCCTTTAAAATTTTACAATATTTTTGCTTATATACTCAAACTACATACATATATATACTTGTATAATCTCAGTAAGTCAAAGTTATATGCAGAAAAACCAAATTTAAAATAAAATTCCATTAATCAAATAAATTCAAAGATTGAATATAAATGATGCAATTTGAATCAAAAACCATAGTTACACAATTTGAATGATTTTCAATAAATTACTCATGTATATTGTATTTGAATGTATATATGTATGTATTTTGTATATGTATATCTGTATAATGATAGTAATGTGCCTAATATTTTTCACAAGTATCTCAATCCAAAGTACATCGACCACATTTGTAATCGAATTTAGATTTCGATTTGTTTTTGGTTTTTGTCTTTCTTTTTGTTTTTAAAGATTACAATTTTTCTTCTTTAACTTAAACTTTCAATTTTTCTTTTATGCTATTTGGGTTTGTCTTTTTTTTTGGTTTTGAAGATTTATCTTATATAGTTCAAGGACATTTTTGTATTTTTTATCTTGTAATTTTAGTTTTGAATTTTGAATTTTCGTTTAAAATGCACAAATAGTTAAAAAATAATTTGTTAATTATGAATTCAATTTAAATATTTGCTATTAATTTAAGCTGAATCCTATTATTTAGATCTGAACAGGATCTGAACTAACTGAACAGAATATAGGGACTGAGGGCAGAAAGTGTTTCTTCCTAAAACATTATTATTTGTGCTTTATCAATTGATATAGGATTTCCAATTGGATTCCGTGATTATTCCATTAAATTTTCCATTTTCATAGTTTGTAAGTGATAGTTGGCAATTTTTTTTTATATGTGCCAGTTTTTAAATGAAAATTTTGCTTTAAGTTTTTGAGATATTGTACCTATATATCCAAGAAGTTTATAAAAATTTCCTAAGGAAAATTGTGTAGTACATCTTGGAATTGTTCAAAAATTCTTTAGAATAATATTGATTGGTACAGAAATTTCCAAACTTGGTGAAATGCAATTAATTTTTCAATTTAGAAAACATAGAAATTAAATTGTCTGAAAATTCATTACCGTATTAAATACAATAACGGTATATGAAATACAGTATATGAGAAATATTGCATACATTAGGCTAAAATATCGAAGATATTTAAAAAAAAAATTTAAAATTTTTTATATTTTTATAATGAAAATTATAGATTTCAAGGCATAAGTAAAAATTTTAAAAATCAATGAAATGGAAAAAAATTTTTCTTACTCAAAAATTAAAGGACTTCAGGCTTTAAAATTTAAAATAAAAATCATAAAATTTTTAAAACAAATATTTGAAATTCTTGTGACAAAAAATTGTTTTTTTTGCTTTTTGTTAATTTTAACCTTGATTGAATCACCAAAAAGAATTTTAAAATGAATTTATTTGTATAAGAATAATACGGTTGAGTGAACTAGAAAATCTTTGATAAAGTAATAAATCCAGTTATATACATATATATATTTATATATGTATGTACAGTTTACGGTAATTTTAATTAAAAATATTAATTCAATTCTAAATCTCAATACTTCTTTTTTATTATTATTCACTTATTTTCTTAAAAAAGGCTTCTGTAAGATCTTATAAAATAATTTTTTATTTACAAGATAATTTTCGCACATAAATCAGAATAAATTAGGAGATGTGAGAATAGCTGGGCTTCATTTTTTACAATATGATGTTCTAAAACCATTTAAGTTCAAAAGGTCGAAACCATTTCTCAACCGGTCAATAAATCCATTACAATATTCATTTACAACATTCATTAGAAATTTGCTTATAATTAAGACTTAACCTTAATATTAACAGGAATTAATAAAATTATAAATTCATTTTTCTTTTAGAGACACTGCAAAGACACTATATTATCTCGGGTCATTATTCATCTTATGGTACAGAACACTTTGATAGATGCTCTTTAAATTGAAACATAATTTTAAACTATTTTTGTAATAAAATCTTTACAGTGAAAATAAATGTAAATTTATGGTTTTCCTGCATTATTTTCTAATATTTAAATCCGGGCATCCGGAGAAACTAGCATATTGTTCCGTATATTCTTTTGAACTTAGTAAATATAAGGTATCTGAGACTATAAAAAATTTTTATATTTTTACAAACACATTACACATATTAACAAATGTACTAATATTAACAAATTTTTAGATAAAAAACCTTTCCAAGATGTAAAAGCAAAGTACACTATACCGAAACCACTACGTCAAAGGAAAGAAAATTGAATTTTCCGTGTAACATCTGGATTAATAAAATGTAATTTCTATTTCTATTCCGACGGAGAAGAGAAGACAATGTAACTGTCATGCATGTCATTAGAACTTCAAGTGTATAATGATATTTTCAGGTACTAACAAGAAAAAAAAACCCATTAAAATCAATATTTTGTCTTAGACTTCTTGATTTGGTCATTTGTGAACGTTGTTTCTAATTATAATAAGAGACAGACATTTTATGTCGTCATATTTGAAAATATTTTAATACCATAAATTAAAAAATTAATTTTATCTATGCCTTCGTTTTCGTCATCATCCAGTTTTATAATATTTCTAAGGAAAATAATTAAAATCCAATATTCAATTTATAAAATTTAATAATTAATTAATTTTTTGATTTTCTATGTAATATGGAATATATTACAGTATATTAGATATAACTGTTATACAATAAACAATATTCATTAAACACAAGCTTCGTCATCTTTCAAATAAAAACAAGGTAAAAATTTAAGACCTGTCCTGTTCATATATACCCATATATACAATATAGATCCCCATGCTATACCAAATAAAAAAGAAAAGAAAAATATGTTCTCTTACATCCTATAATATTATTATAAGCCCGGAAATTACACACTATTCACATAATTGTAAATAATAAAAAAAAAAAACCAAAAAAAAAAAATGATTTAATTCTAAATTGTATAGTCCACATTATCCTATTAAAAATGATAGAATATTAAAAATTAACTTCGAACTATATAGATGTACAATATATGAGTATAACACCATGGTATAACAAAGATTGTTGTATTGTACAAAACATGAATGTATATAACAATTTTTTAGAACTAGAATAACTTATTTTTTAAAATAACAATATAAAAAAAAAGGTTATCCTTTTTATAAATATTTACAAAAAGTCTATATATTTATATACATAAATTATATTTAT